CAGCAACATGAAACAGATCAGCAGCAACATGAAACAGATCAGCAGCAACATGAAACAGATCAGCAGCAACATGAAACAGATCAGCAGCAACATGATGTGATTTTTCACAGTGATTATCCTGGTTAGAGATTCATGAGTCTAACAGCTTCAGGGTAGAAGCTGTTCCTCAGTCTAGTGGTTCTACACTTAATGCTCCTAATAAACTAAGTATTACAATGATCTGTTACCTTTGACATTTGTTTATTTTGTTGCATTGAATGATAAATGCAATAAGCAGAAGCCCAAACCCAGAACCACCCCAAAAAAAATATATATATAAATATAAATATATACATTTTTATTTTTTATTGTTATTATTTTTTTACTTAATTTTTCAGGGGTGCTAAGATAAAGTTTAGGGGTGCTTGAGCACCCCCCTAAAGAGGCTAAACTAGCCAGAGTGAAACAAAGCTTCCCAGAGCTTTTAACATGGTTGCACAGACGTAGTATGTTCCTTGTTAAAAGTGTTGAGTAAGCAAAAATGATTCCAAATCAGGGATTAGCCTTTTCTATTGACCTCAAACACTTGTTTCAGGATTGTAAGATGATGAAAATATTTGATTGTTATTTTATTTAATTTGTATGAAAGGCGTTACAGAAATAAAGCTTGATTGATTGACTGAGGAACAGAAATTGTTCTGTCCACGCCTCTTTGAAAAAACTAAAACATAAAACACTTAAATACACCTGCACAAATCTCTCAGCAATCCTGGTTTTTTGGACTGACTGTAGGAGGTTTTACTCTGTTACCACAGCGATATAACGTTGACATTCAGCTTTAAATCTTAGTCCAGATATCTGGTAGGGATACATGAAACCTTAGAAGTGACGCAGGCTGGAGTTATTTTCATTTGGACTTTTTGCCTTTTAAGCAGAAATAACAAATGTTCCTTTCTGTGTGTTTGATGTGATGAAGGGGAAGTTCTTCTACCTGACTCCAGGAATCTGTCCAAGCCTCAGCACCATGAAGGCCATCCTGGAAAGTGCTGGAGGAAAGCTACTGTCCAAACAGCCTTCCTACAGGAAGATCATGGAGCACAAACAGAACAAGGTGCTCTGACGTCAGGAGATCTGCAGCAGTCAGATCAGCTTTATTTCCACTCAACTTTCCAAACAACAGCCAGTGTGACGGCACCAAAACAATCGTGGCAGTTCTAAACCCTGTTTTCTTTCTGTTGCAGAACCTTCCTGAGATCATCCTGATTTCCTGTGACAATGACCTGCACCTCTGTAGAGAATACTTCATGAAAAACATCGGTGAGACACACATACAACCCAGCCTGAGGGGTGAGAAACGCTGATTTTAACGAGGATTAGACAAGAGGTCTTTCTTTTGTGCTTTACTCTGCAGAGGTGCTTCATGTAACAAATGCCTACATATTCTGGTTTTCTGGGTCATCACTGATTTCTGATTATTGTACAACTTGGATCTACCAATACATGGTTCCCACATGCTCAACTGGTATTACGCAATACCACTTTTACGCCATTTTTGTAGGCAAGCGCTAGAAGACGATCATGATGTCTTTCAGACAGACCAAAGCAAAGTATGCTGATACTCTTGACCAATGTGCAAGAGAAAGATTTGCAGAAAATTGCTGCTGTCGGGACAGAGCTGGCCGAGAAGGAGATGTCATGCAGGTCAGGTGGCAGAGGACATTCCCAGAGGGAGAGCTGTCAAAACAGCACACATCGTTACATTCTGACATTGTTTAGCAAAATGACTACTGCGGGTGTTGATAAAATAAAATCAGAATATCATACAAAGTTGATTTATTTCAGTAATTCCATTCAAAAAGTGAAACTTTTGTTTTATATTCATTCATTACACACAGCCTGATATATTTCAAATGTTTATTTCTTGTAACGTGGATGATTGACTGTTGTAGAGAGCGCTATCTCTTCTGCATCATCTGCTGGGGCAGCACCAGAGCAAGTGACTTAAAAAAGATCAACAAGCTCATAAAGAAGGCTGGCTCAGTTCTGTGGACTCCTCTAGAACCTTTGGAGATGATTGTACAAAGAAGGATTCTTCATAAAATGAAGAACATTATAGACAACCCTCAGCATCCTCTTCATCAGACTGTCATACAACATCAGACTGTCATACAACAACAGAGTGTCTTCAGTCAGAGGCTTCTTCAGATCCGTTGTAGGACAGACGCTACAAGAGATCCTTCCTGCCCACAGCCATCATCATCTAGAACAACTCTTTAATGAAACCAGGATGATGAATTACCACAACATATAATTTCCCTCTGGGATTAATAAAGTTGTTTTGAATTGAATTGAATTGAATTGATACACCAGAGCCAACAATTGAGAAGAGCTGAAGGCCACTATCAGAGCAACCTGTGCTCTCAGAACACCTGAGCAGTGACGCACACTGATCCACTCCATGCCACGCTGCACTGATGCAGTAATCCAGGCTAAAGGAGCAACAACCACGTATTCAACCTGCACATGCTCATACTTGAAATGTTCATACTTTTCAGTTGACCAACATTTCTAAAAATCCTATTTTTTTATTGGTTTAATTTTCTGAGATACTGAATTTGTGGTTTTCGTTAGTTGTCACTTATAATCATCAACATCAAAACAAATAAACATTTGAAATATATCAGTCTGTGTGTAATGAATGAATATAAGATAAAAGTTTCACTTTTTGAATGGAATTACTGAAATAAATGAACTTTTTCACAATATTCTAATTTTATGACCAGTATCTGTATATAATTTGTTGTTTACCGGAATAAAAGTGATCAGAGCAGCTTCTTGATGTTTTTGAGGGCGGATCCTTGCAGTTGATGTTTACAAGCCAGACTTGACGACGTTCTGCACACAGCTCCTCTGTTTGAGGTCCTTCACATTTCCTCCTTTTGGGGATTAAGTAAAAACTGAGCTTTGTCGAACCGTCTGCCCAGTTGGAACATACTCTAACCCAACACGAAACAACCATTGCAATTTACTTAAAGAAAAAAATACTCAACGAACTTACTCAGCCTGTCTAGAAAGACGTGATTAGTGACATAAGTGCTTGTTAGATCAACAAAGTCCATGCTCAATAATCCAGGTATACAATCCAACATTTTTCAGTCAGGTCATCTGGACAGTTTCTGTTTTTGTGCTGAAACATTTCGCCTTCAGTCAGGAAGGCTTCATCAGTCAAGGAAGCACACAACAAAACGGATTCTTCCCCCAACAGCTTACTCCAAAGTGCTTGTTAGAGCCTTTTGAAATACTGCTCAGTTCTATCTGTTCAGCCTTTTCTAACTTGAGAATCTAGCTTAGTAGAGTCAGCTGTTTAAATAGCATTGTGTCAAGCAGTAACCAAGTACCTGTATGCTGTATAATTTGCATTTACAAAGGTACTGACAAACTTAAGATGTAGTATTGAGTCTTAAATCTATGCAATATTCTTGTGATGCAACGGTTAAAGTATGTGAATATTTTCTAGAGCTTACAGTACTATGCAAAATGTACTAGTTTTTCAATTTTACGGAACCAAAATTGGGCGGCTGTGGCTGAGTGGTTAGAGCAGTCGTCCTCCAATGCAAGAGTTGGGGGTTTGAATCCACCAGCAGTCACATGCTGAAGTGTCCCTGAGCAAGACACTGAACCCCTCACAGCCTCTGATGTGTGTCCCATCAGTGTATGAATGTGATAAAGCTCTGATTAGTCTCTTTAGAATGATTTGTTCAATTAGCTTTGTAGAGATCTAGTATAGAGCTGTATGAATGGGTAAATGAGGCACAGATTGTTGTAAAGAGCTTTGAGTATCTATAAGATAGAAAGGCGCTATACAAGTACAGTCCATTTACCATTTGGATGTTACATTACATGAGGACTATGTATACCAGTTTTCAGATACAAAATTTTCTCAAAGAACTACAAATAGCAGAAAACAGACTATCAATCAATACATTTTTTACACTCAATTCTCCTTGCAGGGTTCTGGTGAGTTGGTCCTTATTTCTAGCAGTCGTTAGGTGAGAGGCGGACTGCACCTGGACTGGTCATCAGTCCATCAGAGACTGAGACAACCATTCACACTCCTGCTCACACCTAGGAACAATTTAGATACCAATTAACCTAACATGCATGTTTCCTGCAGAGAACCCACAATGTAAACTCCACACAAATAAGCTCCATATGGGTTTTGAACCTGCAGCCGTCATGCTTAGAGTTGATAGCTGATAACTGCACCACTGTTCCACCTTCAGCGCAAAATATGTTGGTGAAAATTTCAGATAAAATGAAAAATAGCTCTTCCATTGTATAGGGATGTGCGATGTGGCATAAAATTCATATCCCAATATCTATTGTGATGGGTGGAAATAGTGATGTATGTCATGATATGTTTTTGGTATAAAACTTGCAATGTGTCATTTTGCCATCATTTATTTTGAAAACTGCTATACCACAAACTATATCAATCAAGAAAATTCCACTAACAGGTCCAGAGAGTTTTTAAATAAAAAAAACAAATCAAGTATTATACTTCTTTCTTGTAGTACAAAACCGTGCAAAATATATCAAATGTAGTTTTAGCCATTTGTTTTAAACAAAACAGTATGTTGTTAACTCTTAGCAGTTTCCAGTCTTCTCACTTAAGAAATGAACAGCAATGATCAGCATTTTACATATTAAAAAGTGCACACTGAAAACACTTAACAAAATCTCGCTGTCATTCACTTCCGGTAAGATGGCGCCTGTGTACATGGCTTGCAATCCACCTCTGCTGATGGTGTTCGGATTATTCGTGTTTTTTTCATTTCTCATCTGTGACATCAACTCTCTGCTGGTGTAAGAACGACAACAACTTTTGGATCTTTGACTTTGTGCCACCAATGTCACTTATTTTGATCAATATGAGCGTAACTCTGGACCCCCCGTCCCCCCGCTGCTGGCGGACTTGCCTGCTTACCTGCAGCGAGCCGCGCTCCTGCCTCCCCGGAGACATCGCTCCAGACGCCGTGGAAAACGTTCTGGCCGGCTGGTGAAACTTAAAGCCCTGCTTGCTGCCTCTGAATCATCCTCTCCAGCTGATGGTCAACATTTCCACCTCCGATCCTGGCGCTGTGCAGATCTTGTGGCGCGCCGTCTGGTCCCGCTGTCGGGGTCTCATCATCACACTGGGCCCGTGCGCGGTTGGGTTTCCTGCTGGAGGCACGCGTCTGCAAATCTGAGACCGGATTGGACAACTGGTCGTGGTGGAGGATTATTGGCTGTTTTTAAGAAACATTTCCACTGCAGACAGCTCCATGGTTCAGCTAATTATTCGAGTTTTGAACTGCTCTGTTGTGAGCTGGGCCCCTCCAACCCAGTTCTGTGTGCTATTTTTTCCAGACCCCCGGATACCATAAACAGTTTTTAAATGAACTCTCTGACTTTCTAACTGGTATTCTGCTCCAATATGATCGGGTTTTGATTTTAGGAGATTTTAATATCCACATGTGCTGCCCTGATAAACCATTAGCTCAGGACTTTCTAGACCTCATCCAGTCCTTGAACTTTGTGCAGAGTGTTGTTGGTCCGACTCACCAGCAGGGCCACACTCTTGACTTAGTTTTAACACATGGTTTGTCTGTTTCTGATTTAGAAATGGTGACACTGTTTGTTCCGACCACAAACCGGTTTTATTCAACACCTCTTTGATTTGTGAACCTGCACCTCCCCCCACACCCAAGCCCTGTAGGATTTTTAACCCTTCCACCGCCACACTCTTCTCTTCCATCTTTGCTGGTAATTCTGTTTCAGACTCTGAACTCTCTGTGGGTCTTACTAAAAAGGAGTTGATTTCTCAGCATCAGGAGGCCTGTGTACAGATCCTGGACTCAGTCGCCCCGTTAAAGCTCAGGAATCGACCCTTCAGTTCTTGTCCACTGCTCAGCAGTCTTCAGTCACTTTGACCCCATCTCACTCTCATTTTTAAGAGGTCGTTGGTCACATGAAACCCTCAGGCTTGCTGATCCCATCCCTGCTGCATTTTTTAAACAGGTTCTACCATCAACTGGACCCTCTGTTCTTGCTGTTATTAACAGTAGTTTGGCTACAGGTGTGGTCCCTGATGTTTTAAAACATGCAGTGGTAACTCCATTAATTTAAAAACCCAGACTTGACCCTGCAGCTTGTTCAAACTTCAGGCCAATCTCAAAACTTCCATTTCTTTCTAAAATCTTGGAGAAAATAGTTTTAGTCAACTAACCAAGTTTTTGAATGTAAATGGAATTTTTGATATTTTTCAGTCAGGATTT